ACATACTTGGAATGGCAGGCAGCATCCTTAAATGAATTTTAGAGTGTTTTGTTGCCAATATCTTAAGCAGTGCTGCAGTCTTATATGGATTTCTTTGATAGCTTCCTTCTACCAACAAATAACCTCGCTGCAAGAAAACAAACAACGCCTCACAAACACAGACAAATCCAAACCTGAGCTCCATCACCATACCTGACTGGGCTCAGGATATGAAGAACTGGTGTAAACGGAGCAGCTTCATGGCAGCACTCCCTCTTACTGACTACTTCAGGCTCGAGGAAGGATCTCCAATGAAGAAAGTGATCAGAACCTCCTACTGCCTCACCTTCCCTGATGGTGTACTGGAAATGAGGCATTAAATTATTTTTTATGCGTTATACAGATTTAAATAGATTTTCTTACGTCTACCGGCAGCCTCCAATGGGTTACAAAGTGCCACCATTATTTTGTTCAGCAAAAAATAAAGCTTAGGAAACTACAGGGTTAGGTGTTTTGGTTTTTTTTATTTTTTGTTTAAATAACTCAGACCAAACATCAGTAAGTACTTAAACGTGGCAGATCCACTAAGTGTGATTTGTACCAAAGCATCTGTGCTAAGAAGATTACAGGTACGCTTCGAGAACAAATTTCAAAGGTCTGCAAAGTATAATTAGTTCTAAAGTTCTCCTACACATTAATAATTAGTAATAAAATCCTTCCAAAGCCCTCCACAGAACGATGTTAAAAGCTCTTTGTGAAGCATAAAAATGCAGCCCAAGCCCAACCCCCTCATCACTGGCATTGTGTATCTTAAGCTTTCCATTGAAGATGGTCTCACCTCTCTCCAATAGTTCATTTGAGCAACTTTTCCTCTCCTTTCCAATGCTTTTTTCCATTCATATCTCATAATTCAGGGTGAAGCCTTTAATCTTACATACATTTCCATGATTATTTAAAGACCAAATGGTTCAGCCAGATTTATGTAGTCTTGTGCTCCTTATAACTATTTATTGATAAATTCAGTGAGCAATTCCACCATCAGTATAGGCAGTTTCACAGTCCAGCCAAGTACCAAGAGAGAAAACAAGGCTTTTTCTCCATTTTCAATTTGTCATTTTAGGATTCAGTATCAGGAGCTGAAGGACAGGTATATCACCAAAGCCTATCAATATGGACATCAGAAGACTGAGATCTTGTCAAAATGACTTCATTTCAGTCCTTGTCAAGATTATAACTCTACTTGATAACATGTAACGGAGAACAATGGCACGTGGATTCATTTTTAATAACTATTGACTTAGCACTGTGCAATGTTTCGGATTAAAGACTTTGCACTTCACAACAGTGGTGTTCAATGAATTAAGAATTGGTAAACAGACTTTTTTTCTCAAAGATTAGCTGCCAATGGGAAATGAGACAAGAAATGATATTAGGCTAAATGGCATTCAACTTTTCAAACAAGATTTGGAAGCAAATGTGCAAAGCACTGCTAAATTTGTGGATAAAAAAAATATTAAAGGAAAGGGAAGTATGAAGAATAAGGCTTTCATATGAAACGACGAGTTTTCATGCAACAAATGGCAAAGCTGTGCATGTTGGAAAAGGAAGGCAGCCCATTCTCCCAACAGGAGAAAGATGAGGAGCACATCCAGAGAAGGGCCATTAACATAACAGAAGGCTTGAGAATCTATCTTGGGGAGAGAGGTTGAGGGAGCTGGGCTTATTCAGCTTGGAGAAGAGAAGGCTCTGGGGAGACCTCCTTGTAACCTTCCAATACTTGAAGGGAGTGTATAAACAGGAGGAAGACTGACTTTTTACATGGACAGACAGTGATAGGACTAGGAGAAATGGTTTAAATATGAAAGAGGGGAGGTTTACATTTAGGCTAGAAATACTCAGAGATTGGTGGGGCGCTGCCCAGAGAAGCTGTGAATGGCTCATCTTTGGAGGTGCTCAGGGCCAAGTTGGCTCTGGGAAGCTTCCTCTGGTGGGTGCCAACCCTGTTTCATATCAGAGGACTTGGGACTGTATGATTTTTAAGGTCCCTTCCAATCTAAGTTCTATGACTCTATGGTATGATTCTATGACCGTATTCCTATAAATGTATGACTGTATCATATGATTGAACCATAAGACTGTCATATGAGCCTATGAACATATAACCATACTATGACTGTAGTTCTATGATTCTGTGATGATTATCTGATTCCATACCCACGAAAGCAGTTATTCTGGAAGCAGCACAAGGATCCAAAAGGAAAAATGCTATGTGTTTTCCTAGCATCTTGGCAAAAAAAGTATGGAACAATTATCAGCTCTGTATACATGAGAACAGAGGAAGGGAGCACTTTTATCCCTGTACAAAGGAATGGTATGATTCTGAAATGTTGCATACGGTTTTAGTGTCCAGATTTTCAAAGGCAAATGAGGAATTGGATGGGATACAAAAAGATATGCAGTCCTTCTGGAGGCTACTAAAACTGGTACGCTGCAGGAAACTAGAGGAACCAGTGACCAGGAATCTGAAGGCAGAATACGTGATTTATAAAATAAATGAAACAAGCTTGTAACTGGGAGCATAATCAAATAGAAAGAACACAAAACAAAGGGTTAGCCTCCATTCATTGTGCTCTTCAAAGCAGATCAGGAAGATACAATAATGTCAAAACTGGTAAATGGATGAAGCAAAGAGGCCTTTCTGTCTTCAGCCTGGAGGCACATCACTGCCTTTATCCTTGGACTATTATAGAAAAAGAACAATGTTCTCAATCTTCTTGCTCCAAAACACCATGATTACTTTATTTCACTCACCATGTCACCTCTTGTGTGGACACCAGCTCGTTGTTAAGTCTAATGACAATTGCCATAACACTGAAGAAGATTTAGACTGCAGAAGGTTACAACTAGGCAATTTAATATCCCCTTTCTGATCACAAAATTAAACTAAGACGTTCAGTTTAAGTTACCACTGGCCTTCCATGAGCTGTTACCTCATAAAAACACTCCCAAAATGGCTGCAGACAGTAGACTGTGAGCTCTCCATAGCTCAAGAAAACTTGGCACATTCCTGTTTTTAAATAAACCACACAACTGCTTCACTCTTCTGACTTGCAATTTCCTCATTATACAGACCTAATTTTTTATGGTTAACCATCAGCTGGATTTCACAGGAGAAAAGCATTAGCTGGGGACACTGCTAACCACAAGTGTAAATCAGCTGTGTGTGAGGGAGAGAGACAGAGTCAGGAAGGGTGAACATGAGTATGTATGAGCACCTGATGTTTTTTTCTGACACCGTTCCACATCATTAGTTGGAAGCTTGCTATGCACTATACTCTTACATCTCTGTTGATCCTACCTACCCCCTTTCCCTTTCAAAGTTTTTTCTTTAGTACGTGCATTTTTGAATTTTTAGAACCGTGCAGCTGATTTTTGGCAGAAGAGGCTGGGGCAAAGACTGTAGGCATTTTTACACATTAATTTTATGGGAGATTACACAGCAGATTAACAGTTCTCTAAACAAAAAGTGTCCCATGCTACCTCCATTCTTGCCTGTTTATTGCTTTTGATCTATTCATACCAAAACATTCTTACTAATGAAAGTAATCACAAAATTGCCTAATAAGGTAATTTAGAAAACAGTTCACATTGAACATATGATCAAAAGGCATTTAACTTGCAGTTCCTGCCTCCTCTCCCCCAATAAACACATGGTTTACTGGCACTGCTGTGCTTCAAAACGGTTTTGAACATCTGGGAGAAGGGCTGATCAGCTTCACACAATAGTTGGACTCTATGCAGACCCAGGAACAAAGGTCATGATAAATAAAATGACTGCTTTGGCTCCAAAATTGCCTCAATCTTCTATAGACAAAGCACGATTGAAATGCATCTATCTGTGGATAGCATCTGGAGAACTCTGAATATGTTTTGATCTGAATCTGATGGGCTTCTTTCAAATGAAAATAATCTGAAGACACTGTGGAAAATTTTTAAAACCACAGACAACGTAAACTTTGGCCTAATACTCTCTTTTAGAGCATTGACCTTGTTTTTCTACAGTGTGAAAAAATAAAATCAATATAATAATGGTACTGCAGTAAAATTTCAGCTTGCTCTTGGCTTTAAATAACTTTATTGTCTCCTTTCCCCCTGTCTGTGTCTGCTGCATTTGGCACTAGCAGTTATTAAAATGAAACCAAGTTGAAAGAAAATTTAAATATCATAAAAAGAAAACCAGCAGTGCTTCTGGCTCACTTTGCTAACACTGTGGTCACCTTTACAATTTGCCAGGGTTTTGTATTCCCCAGCTGTTCTATTTGAATTTGCATGCATAAAGAAACCCCAACTTTCTACCAGAATAATAACTTGTACTTTGCAGATTTAAAAGTACTAATTTCTTATATATATATACATTTTTTTTTTTAAAGGAAAAGTTGTTCCTTCCCCTGATTATACATTAGAACAAAAAAAAATCAATGGTTTACTAATGATTTCAATTATTTGGTCTAAAATTTCCTTCCTTTTTAGCCTGCAGTTTTGTATGAGTGAGTGAGCCTGGCTGTAACAGTCCTACTGTTGCACTATAATGTGCACCACTAACAAGGCTATGAAAACTTTATAGGAAAGTAACAATTAAAGAGAAGAAAACCCAACATTCAGCCAAAATTATGGCCTTTGCGCCTCTTCTGCTCCTTCAGCATGAAAATAATATCCACCTACTGTCACCTACTATCACCATTATCAGCCCTGCCTTGGTGAAGAGAGAAGAAGCAAAAATGGGAACCAGGAAAAGCAATGGAAAGCCCAAATGTAGGCAGCGCTAGAAGAAAAATGGGAGTTTGCTCTGCTCAGCCCTGGGCCTCTCAGAAACAGGGAAACTCTAAGCCTTTGAGGAAGAACAATCTGCTTAAGTATGTGTTACACTGCAAACACAGATTTTGCAAAGGGACACACGATGTTCCACCTCTCATTTCCCCTCAAACACACCACGCTCAGAATAAAAAATACGGAGTTCTTACTTTGGTAGTCGAAGCTGGAGACGAGTTGGCCACCAGGCTCGTGATCACATCGCTGCTGACGGTGGTGCAAGTAGCTGTGGCTGGAGTGGGGAGCCGGGAGGGGACGATGGGCAGGGGCAGAAGCCCAGGGCGATTGTTGCTGTTGGTGCTGGCAGCGCTGCTGCAGTTGGTGCTGCTGACGTGGTTGCCGTTGGAGCTCCAGTCCCGACGATCCCACCCGGCCCGATAATCTCGTTCAAACCGGCTGTGGTGCCGTGACATCTCGATGTAGGGCAACTTCTGCTCACGGGGAACTTGAGACCTTGCCTGAGGGAATGAAAAGAAAGGGATGTAAGGGATGAGGCCCCAGCATAGCGCTTGTACCCTGCAGTCCTCGGGGCAAATCCCTGCTGTACGTCCTCTGCATCAGAGGAGCGCTGCTTCATTCCCCTTCCTAGCTGAACATCAGGACGAAGAGAGCGGTGGTGTTGTAAATGTTAATCAAGAACAGAAAAGAGAGATTTAGAACAGCTACAAGCATGTGGTGGAGAGACCCATGCCTCAGACCTGATGAAACACCATCTGCCTGAACTCTCCAGCAGAATAACAAGCAACAGCACACAAAGTGGAAGTTAGAAGAAAATCATTCAAATGTTTTGATAACAGGAAAATGTTTCCAACAGCTCCATCCTGTAGTTTTCTCAACACCCTTCAGATCTATGATTTTTTTTTTTCTGCGCCTGATGTGTGACCAAGCATCACTCGTAAAGATCGGAGAGAAAAATCTACCTTAAAGCTGCTCATTACCTCTCTGTTTTCAAAGTTGAGTATCAGTTTGTACCGTTCCCTCCCTTCCTTTTCACTAAACCTTCTCGCAGGAACACTTCACCCCAAGGACACCTGAGACAAGGCAAGCTAACATTTCCCATCTCCTCTTGTGCTTTTGGCTAGATTTAAAACACTTAATGTACTCAATCAGATGTACAATCAAATGACCAAATCACTTTGTGTGATCATCCTGCCCTTATCATTCCTTACCTCCTTGGTCTTTGTTATCCACAGATTTTATCAGCCAGAAACGACATCTGCACGCAACACAGGGAGTTGAGACTCCCAGCATCTAATCCTAGTTCTAGTAATTATATCTTACACAGCCTACAGCACTTACTTAAGCCTCGTTGGTGAGGTTTCCTAACCTACAAAATGGGTGGCAATAATGTTATTTTCCCAGTAGAGGTCTGAGTAACCAAGAGTCTGCAGCATTTGAGATTGAAGAACAGTATAAATAAATGCTAAATATATTTATTCCCATAAATAAATAATGAGTATCTAGGTCACTGCAGCATCTGATTTATTTTATTTGCATCACACGATGCAATAAATTGTTTGTAATAATAACAACAGGTCAGCTGAAGCGATTTTGCTTTACAAATTCTTAAATACAAAAATAGACAGTAGAAATATCTGCTCATAATGGCTGAGGAGGGAAGCTGAAACAAAACTCACCCAGAAACTTAAAAGATAACAAACTAATTCAGAGAGATATTATTTAGAAGTGATATAAAACAGTATGCCCAACAATTTCAGTAGTTATTCACCTGATAGAGGAAAAAAAAGGGTAAACTAAACCAGCTGCTATGACTAAATACAGTGTATTAAAGGCTCACCTGGTTCACCAGAGAGATACTGGCTTGAGAGGAGGAAAATTCTTCCTGAGTTAAAAAATCAATACTATAAATGTGGTTAGAATAGAAACAAACAAAATCCCTACCACAATCACAATCCTCCAACAAAGATCTCACAATAACTTGCAATGGTTTTAAACTGAGACAGGGAAGGTTTAGGTTTAGATATTAGGAGGAAGTGTTTCACCCAGAGGGTGGTGAGGCACTGGAACAGGTTGCCCAAGGAGGCTGTGGATGCCCCATCCCTGGAGGCATTCAAAGCCAGGCTGGATGTGGCTCTGGGAAGCCTGGGCTGCTGGTTGGTGACCTGCACACAGCAGGGGGTTGGAACTGGATGAGCATTGTGCTCCTTTGCAACCCAGGCCATTCTGCGATTCTATGAAAGACTTCAGGGGACTGGGGCACATAGCTGATGGAGCAGGTGTGCAGGTGGTTTTTTATTCTATACCTTCAGTAGCAAGGAATGATACTGAGAGGATCGAAAAAAACAATAAATAGCTTAGAAGTTGGTGCAAACACAGGAATTATTTCTTTTTCCTGACCACGGGGCAATTTACTTGACACCTGGCTTGATGGCTGCAGCTGGAAGCAGCCTGTCTCTGAGGGGTAAGAGGATCTTGGCCAAAGAACTGGTGGGACTCGTTGAAAGGTCTTTAAACTAGGTATGAAGGGGGAAGGGGACAAAACAAGGCCTGCTGGGCTTGAGCAGGTCATTTCAGGGCTTGTACCAAACTTGATGGGCAAAAACGGGGGAGCACAAAGGGATGGACTGGGGCTGGGGTATGCTGGGGTTGCTGCTGTTCTAGGGGATCCTAGATCCTCTATAAGGGCGGTGAGACGGAAAGCCCAGCTGAAGCGCCTTTATACCAATGCACATAGCCTGGGAAATAAGCAGGATAAGTTGGAAACTGTGATGTGCTTGGAAAGTTATGACCTTGTTGCTATCACAGATGAGTGGGATGATTCCTGTAACTGGAATACCACCACTGGGGGGTATCGGCTCTTTAGAAGGGATAGAAGAGGTAGGAAGGGTGGAGGAGTTGCCCTCTATGTCAAAGAGTGGATAGACCGTGAGGAGCTTCCTCTGAGAAACAGTCAGGAACGGGTTGAGAGCCTGTGGGTCAGAATTAGGGATGGGTCTAACAAAGGCCAGCTGGTGATAGGGGTATACTACAGCCACCTGATCAAGGGGAGACTGTTGATAAGGCTCTCTTGCAGGAGGCTTCGTGCTCACGGGCTCTCATCCTGGTGGGGGTCTTCAACCATCAGGATATCTGTTGGAAAGACCACACGGCAAGCTGCAAGAGGTCCAGGAGGCTCCTGGAATGCATGATAACTTTCTGGTCCAGGTATTGGACAGACTGACTGGAGGTGAAGCGTTGCTGGACCTGCTGCTCACCAATGCAGAGGAGATGACCTCACTGCAGCCTGGCAGTAACTAAAGGGAGCCTACAAACAGGAGGGTAATCAACTCTTTGAAACGGTAGATAACAGCTGGACAAGGGGAAATGGTTTTAAATTAAGGGAGGGGAGATTTAGGTTGGATGTCAGGGGGAAGTTCTTTACTATGAGAGTGGTGAGGTGCTGGAACAGCTGCCTAGAGAGGCTGTGGATGCCCCATCCCTGGAGGTATTCAAGGCCAGGTTGGATGGAGCCCTGGGCAGCCTGATCTAGTATTAAATGGGGAGGTTGGTGGCCCTGCATGTGGCAGGGGGTTGGAGCTTCATGATCCTTGAGTTCCCTTCCAACCCTGACCATTCATTCTGTGATTCTGTGATAAGACTCTACGAATGGCCATTCTATGAATGGTTGTGGTCCTCTGACCAGTGAGCACCTTTAGCACGTGATGGAAACCACACAGTAGGGCTGTAGATGTTGACCACAAAACCAGTACTCCACATACTGGTACTACTTAAAGACAGTGTCTTTAAAGGTGAAAAATTCTATCTGAAAACACCCTTTATTATTCCTTGCCTCTGGAAAAGTTTCTTTTTAAAACTGCACATTTTCCCCCTCTGTATGAAGCTATCTTTTTTGACGGTTTGGAAGGTGGCTGTCAATTGAATGCCCTTCTCCTTCTGAGCTTTAGGATCTCCATTAGCTGTGTTAGTGTACTCCTTGACAAGGCAATGAGAGAGAACCAAATCACATAGCCCCCACCCACCCACACACTTGAGTATATCTGACATTTAATTCAGCGGAGAGCAGCGCACACATGCACATAAGTCAATAGCTAGCAGTTTTTGCCACACGATCCAAGACACCATGCCCCCAGCAATTCTACTATCAGATGAGACTGACAGGCAATTACGTCAATAACAAGCAGGAAAAAAGCCGGTGACTAAGCCATGCATTAAGAAGTTTACTTAAAACCTACCAACCTCTTCACAAGCAAGTTCTCCTCTTTGTCCAGCTACTCTATTTTATTATGTTTCCAATAAAAAATAAAAGCGAGGGTTGAAAATGCACTGCATTAAATATACACTGCTTGCTTCAAGCGTGTCATTTTTGGCTGGGTGCAAAGATACTTGACAGCAAGAAGACATGCAGGAATACTGGAGGGGATAGCTATCTAATAAACGGGGATTCAACTGCCAGTGCTAGGTATTAATTGCTTCAAATTAGAAACAATATAAAATGTTCTCATAAATAGCTGCTGGGTGAGGTAAGAAATGGTTTGTGAACAGGCTGGTTTTTCTTTAAATGTATTTTTGGATCCAGTGCTTATGCTTTGTCTGGGCTATCTTTGTCAAGGATGATAATCATCATCATAATAACGCTTCAAACATCTTTAGTACTCATAAGAAAAACTTTGCCAACAAACTGTGTTCTGAGCCAAGCCTAATCATCACATTCCTCTGCAGAGAAGTTGACACAGGACAGCACAAATCTTCTTGGGAAACAGCAGTGAAGGAGGCCAGCGCAAACCAACACGAACAGCAAGGACAGCAGTTGCTAACCAAACACATACAAGTATTTTCACCCCAACTCACTTGTTAGCAATTCCAAAATCCAAACCCTATGTCTGAGAATGTTGTCCCAATGCTCCTTGAGATCCAGCAGCTTGGGGCTGTGCTCACTGTCCTGTTCCATGCCCACCACTCTGTTGAAGAACCTTTTCCTGATAACACAGCCTGTCCCTCCCCTGGTGCAGGTTTATACCCAGTTTTAGGGTAAAATTTTCCAGACATGGATTTCTTTAGGATTTTTCTTAAGAATAAACCGAAAACCCCACCACCCCACCACTTTTCCACTATGGACAACAAGGGCAGAAAGACTGTAATGCTTACAAATGCCAATATCAATACCTACAAATAATTCATTGATTTTCCCTGTTAAAAGAATGTTTTTCTCAACATTTCTATGCACGCACACATCCTTTTCTAAGCCCTTCAAATAGTGTTAGATCCCTCTGAGCACCACACAAAGGAAGAGAAAGAAGGTTTTCACCTTGTTTCTCAGACTTGGGAAACATCCAGTACTGTCCATAGCGAATTTGCTACCCCAGCTAAGCCTTAGCTGTAAGTATAATCCATCAACCTCTGTTTTGGAGCTGATTTTTCAGCTAGAATGAAACGTCCTGCCACCATGCCTAGAAGCGAGCTCTTGAGAAGATAAGTTAAATCTATCTCAGATATGTCC